AATTCAGTTCCAGGCTCCAGACCCGTTACACACCAGGGCTGAGATTGTGGCTCAGTGGTAGAGTGCTTACCTAGCACGTGCATGGCCCTGGGTTCAATCCTCAGCACCACATAAAAATAAATAAATAAATAAATAAGGTATTATGTCCAACTACAACTAAAAAATAAATATTAAAAAAAGATACACACCAGTGGATCCAGGATCTAGACCAAATACTGTGAACCCAGGCACCAGGCTAACCTGTCTCAAAACTCCAAAAATGATCATTCCCATGGATCATGCCAGATGGCCTGCCCAAAATCTCTTGATGGGTTGAGTGGAGAAAGGCATTCCCTAACAAAACCAGTTTGTGAAGACCCTGCTTCTTCAAAAGTGTAGATGCCAACACCTAGCCACAAGGGTCAAGAACAATCAGGGAAACGTAAGCAAAGGGGAAAAAGTAAACACCAGTGATCAACATAAAGTAAAGAAAATTTATGAACTGCCTAACAAATAATTCAAAGTAATTGTTTTAAGGAAGCTCAGTGAACTTAAAATGTAGAAAAACATTTCAATAAGATCAAGAAGAAAATAAAAGACCAAAACCAAAAATTTATTTATTTATTTATTTTTAAAATATTTATTTTTTAATTATAGGTGGACACATGTCTTTATTTTGCTTTATGTGGTGCTGAGGATCAAACTCAATGCCCCATGCATGTGATGCAAGTGCTCTACCACTGAGCTACAACCCCAGCCCCCCAAACCAAAAATTTAATAAAAAGATTAATTTTAATTTTGATTTTAGAATTTTAAACAGAAAATCAGGGGCTAAAAATACAATGAATTAAATTAAAAACACAAAAGAATGTCAGTTGCAGAACTGATGAATCAGAAGAAAAAAATCTGTGAATTCAACCATAGGTTGTTTAAAAATCACATGGTCAGACAAAAGAAGATAAAATAAAAAGGAAAGAATAAAGTTTATAGAACTTATAGAAAAAAATAAAGAAAATACCCAAATTATAGGATTTCTAGTTTAAGAGAGAAATAAAAGTCCAGAAAATGTATTTAAATAAATAGAAAAATTTGCAAATCTGGGAAATAATATATCCAGGTACAGGAAAGACTATCAGAAAAAAGAAATTAGAAAATCAACTCCATTCACAATAGCATAAAATATCCTGTGGGAGTAAATTTAACCAAGGAGATAAAAGATCTGCACTTGCAAACAAAAAACAGTGATGAAATTTCCATGTTTATGGACTAGAAGTGTGAATTGTTTAAATGTCCAAACTACTCAGAGCAGTCTACAGATTCAGTGCAATCTCTACAAAAGTTCCAATATCATTTTTCATAGAAATAGAAAAAAAATCCTAAAATGTATATGGAAAGACAAAATACCTCAAATGGCTAAAGCAATCTTGAGTACAGAACAACGGTGGAGACATCATACTACCACACTTTAAAATCTCTTATGACGCTAATCAAGCTATCATAGTGCAGTTTTGTGTTGTATACAAAACCAGATAATGTACTGACCAATGAAACAGTATGGAGAATTCAGAAATAAACCCATATATTTATGGTCAATTGATTGTTGACTAAGTTACTAAGCACACAATGGAGAAAGGAAAGGCTCTTCAATAAATAATTTTGCAAAACTGGATACCCACAAGCAGAAGAGTGGAATCAAACTCTTACCACAACACAAACTGCAACAAACACTTAAATGTAAGATTTTAAAACCACAAAATCAATAGAAAACAGTATAAATGTTTCATGCCATTGGTATAGGCAAAAATTTCTTAAACGTGACCTCAAAGCACAGGCAAGAAAATAAAAAATAAACAAATGGTATTCTATCAAGCTAAAAAGCTTGTACAGAGCCAAGGAAACTGTAAAGGGAAGACACAACTCTCTAGTGAAGACACAACTCTCTAGCGAAGGTGTGGAGAAAGGGAACCTTTATTCATTGTTCTGAAGAATGTAAATTAGAATAGTCATTATGGAAAAATTTATGGTGTTCCTCAGAAAACTAAATATAGAATTACCATATAATTTCACAATCCCACTTCTTAGTATATATTCAATGTAATTGAAATCATTGTGTCTAAGAGATACATACACACCCATGTTCATTATATTATTCACAATAGCTTAAATATGGATGTAATCTGAGTGCCCATCATCAGATGACTGGATAAAGACAATGTGATATATATACACAATGGAATACTATTTAGTCTTTCAAAAGGAAATTCTGTCACTTGCAACAATGTGGTTGATCATAGAGATATTATTTTAAATGAAATGTCTGGTACAGAAAGACACATAACACACAATCTCACTTATATGTAGCATGTAAAAATGTTGAACTCATAGAATAGAATGGTGATTACCAAGAGTTGAACGGAGTTTTGGGGAGATATTGTTCAAAGGTACAAAATTCCTGTCAAACAGGAGAAATAAGTTCAGAGATCTTTTGTGTGATGTTGTGACCACAGTTAGCAATGATATATTTTAGTTTAGAAAATCACAAAGAAAAGGAGGTTTTAAATCTTCTCACCACAAAAACCATATGCAAGGTAATGCATATTATCTTGATCTAACCATTCCACAATATATATGTATTTCAAAATATCATATTTTACATCATAAATATGTATGTTATTTTAAAAAATAATTTTAAAAAATCAATTGCATATAGACATATGCTACAAGTATGTAGTCTATAAGTTTAGTGTTCAATTAAAATAAAAAATATATTCTCTTTAATATTTATTGTGATTAGAAGAATTTTAGTAATATATTAACTTACTTCATAATAGTTATACTTATGCAGAAAGACATTACTTATGCATATTTTAGCTTTAGTAATACTTTCCTGAGGAACAAGGAGCTAAACTGCTGAGTATTTTACACTTACCAAGTGTGGCTGTGAATTTTATGTCAGTGAAATAGTTAAAAAAAAAAAAATGAAAGTCATTCCTTATWGTGTGAATCATGTAGTAACAGATTGTTCAATATCATTTACTTGCCCTTTCTTAGAGAAAAAAAAAAAAGAATGCTAAAACAAAAATGAACTTACTTCAGTTTGGATTTAATAAAATCATTATGTAAATCAAATTTGAAAAATGCAAATTAAGACATCAAATAAGAAGACATATTTATAAAATCCTAAAAACTTCAGAAAACAATCAGATATTTATAAAGTTAAAAATTAAGTTAAGACAAACTTAAATCAGTAATTTTCTTTTTAATTTAATATATTTGAAAGCCTTACATACACTATAAAGTTCTCAAATTCACAAGCTTAATTTTTGTAAATTCAGTAGCAGTCTTTGGAACATTAGAGGACTGCTGAGAGCCATAGCCAAGTAGGAATGACACATGGCATTTTGGGTTGAAAGGTGACCCTTCTCAGGGAATAGGGCGGCTCCAGGATTAAGGTGGATCCTGCTGGGAATAGGGAGGCTCCAGGATTAGGGCGGATCCTGCTGGGATTAGGGCGGATCCTGCTGCCTCAGGTGCCCCTGCTCCTTTGGAGTTCCTTTTGAGTTCTGGGGGGGGGGGTGTTCTGAGGGAATTGGCGTGTGGAGCCGGGTGAAGGCAGGGTGTTCATGGGAAGTGTGGGTAGAGTGTAAGTGAGAGTTCGGGAATAAAGAGTTGCTGTTTGAATCTACAAAGCTTTGTGGTGGCTCGGTGATTTTGTGCCCATCCAGACTGCGGCAGGAGACAAAGGACTCTATAGAAATGCAATGGCCATCATCAGTGAATGAGGTGGATTCTTGTTCCATTCAATAGCCATGTCTTCCTCAAGGTATCTTAAATGCTGAACTGAAGCCTTAAAGGAAAAAAAAATGTTACTTCCCTCTTTATATGCATGGGAGAATACATTAAAACACACACAAACTCACTTATATAAAAAAGTATCCTACCTTTCCTGAACAGAAATATTAAATGCAACTATTTTCAAACTTTAGTATACATAAAAATCACTTTTATGCCATAGAACTACACTGGAATAAAATAAACACTACTAAAATACCATTTTAAAAATAATCTCCATTTGATTCTGAAGCAACCAGGAAACAGTGAATATTCTTTAATGGAAAAGTATTTTAATAATTATTTATGTCACAAATTGTTTGAGTTATTCATAATCCTCAGTTTACAATGCTGTTAGGATTTTAAATGCTTCTGCAATGTATTATCTGCGTATGCATAATTTTGTAGATGTAGGTATTTAATTATAGTCAATATAACGTGATCACATAAGTGAAATCATTTTACATGCTAAAAGGTGATATTTTCCTTTTTTAGGAGGCTAAAGCATATTTTTTTCCCAGCAACTACCCCATCAATTGGCATTTAATTTGTTTCCACCTTTTTTTTTTTTTTTTTTACATTTATAACAACATTGTAGATAAGATTTGGATGTTATGTCCTTTCACAGCAATGATTTTATTTGTATGGAAAAGTTCTCAGGGATAGAATGGTTGGGTCAAAGGATCTGTGAAGCTTTTTACTATTATTAATTATAATTATTATTATCATTATCATCATCATTTAAATAGACAGTACCAGATTATTTTCTCCAAAGACTGCTTTACCTGTTACTTCCAGTAGCCTTGTTTGAAATTATCTTTATCCCTATAGTATCTTATATAATCTTTACTGTAGCAAGCATTATACGAATTCAGATGTCTGATACACTTTAATTTTTTTCTGATATGATCTCTGTAAAATATTCCAAATATTTATTCATAGTTATTCACTAATTTCTCCTTAGCTTCCTGAATGTACCATTGTTATTACCAAGTGCATATATGTAATTTAGAAATGGCTGAGTCATATTTATAAAAAGTTGTCATATATTCTAAATATGGATGTATATTTACAAACCTATACATATATGCAATATGGAAACATGTATATAAATTCTAATGTCAGAAGAACTCTGTCTTTAAACAGAATATATATTTTTAACAATGATGAGTAAGTGCTTCCCACTCACCTCATTGAGTTAAAAATTCCCAGTTTTCAGTCTGCCTCAGAATGGCCCCCTTTTTAATTCCAGAAATAGAAAAATATTTAGAAACAGAAATTAGTCCACCAGCATTAAAACCATGTGATTTATTGGAATTTTCTGGAAGGAAGAAAATAATTACTGAGAAATATACCAGACTACCCTAAGTGCCTGAGAAGCTCTTTGAGTGGTTTAAAACTGCTGTCCACAATTAGGAAGGCAGGTAATTGTGATTAAAGGGGCACAGAAACTCTTTTCTAGACTTAAGTGCATTACTTGATATAGCAGAAGCAAATACCACACCCTTTGGGTTAAAGAAGTATGGCAGACCCCTGTAAAAACATGGGGGCTTTCATGAAGTAAAGACAATGGGTACTGGTATAGTTTTTCAACTCAGTACTGTTATGTGCCCTGAGGCAGTACTGCACTGGCACTAAATAGAAGTTGGAGCACAAAGAGAAAAGAGCTATGAAATGAGAAATAAGGCTATCCTGTGTTACTGAAGACTTCTCATTGAATAAAGACACAGAAATGTGAACCTTTTATAATTTTAGAAAAAATCTAGAGATCTAATGCACATCATGAGCTCTATAGTAATAACACTGGGCTGTGTTTAGGATTCCTATCAAATTAGTAGAGTTGAGCTACCACGAAAAACCATGTGAAATGAAGGATAGTTAATTTGCTTTACATCAGTAATCTTTTTACTAACTAGATGCTAATCCTATAACATCATGTTTAAACCTTAAATATATACAAAAAAATTTAAAAGGAAAAAAATTTAAATTCTCATATGACAGTCTTTGAGATGATTCATTTCTATTTTTATAAAATGAGGTATAAGTCTCGTCATTCTTTATTTTTATAAAATGAGGTCCAAGCTCTTTGTACCTCTCTGAGAAATAATCATAGGCTTCTTATACTAGAGGCCTCCACATCATTGCAATTTTTTATGTTCTTAACAATAGTTTTCAGATCATTGCTTCCTTTCTTTCTCTTGTATGTATCATAACTTTCTATTTCAGATTTTTAAAATCTTTTTACTATTAATCAAAGTAGAATGCTCAGCTTCAGTTGAAGCCACCAGTCTGAGCCTTCAACCTACAGACCTTCAAGGAATCCACTGACCTGAAGGATGAAGCTGGTCCAGATCATCTGCCTCTAGGCTTGAATTCATCTCCTGGTATTGCACTTGGTGGACAAAATTCTCTCCTCTTGTGGAAACTAACAATAGGAGTTCTGGGTTATGGATCAGCAGATCACAATAAAATGTCTTTTCCTTTGTGTTAGCTGCCTTACAGCAGTGCAAACATACATAACTTTATGCTATTGTTTCCAAGATTTTTCCTTGGAATGTCTCACATTCATAAGCTAAATTGTCTTTATTGTCACCCGACTCCCACCCCCAGCGGAAAGACAGTTTATTTCCAAAATTCACTAGAGGTCTTTCCAGATCTCTCTAAAAATATTTCCTCTTCCCTCTTCTCACTGTAAAGTCCTTTTAATTTTATCTCATCTATTTCAAAATGCTATTCTTGTCCATAGTGTAATCCTCCTTCAATCCTTCATATATATCCTGTTGCCAAAAGATCTTTCTATAAGACAACTTGATAATTTTACTTCCCTTCATGTTACTTTAATGATTATGAATCATTTTCCAGTGGAGTGAAAAACTTCACAATTTGTTCCTTCTATCTTCTTAAGCCTCAYCAGCAGTTTTGCTTCTTTCTCTCAATTTTTATTCCAAAACAGAAAATATGCCAACCTTTACACTTCTCTACACTTCTACATATCCTTTTCTTTTCCTATAACATTCCTCATTCAGTTCTTTGAACTCCTATCTTCAAAATTTGTCTCAAAAGCTTCCTAAAAGACCTCGGTACTTCTTTCCCCTTTCAGAAAATTACTCTCTTTTCTGTGCCACTATGGTTCCTTATTTATATTAATTTACAATGCTACATGACAATTGGTTTACATACGTAACTCTTCTACTAAACTTGAAGCTCCCAAAGACAAAAACAGTTTATTGTCCATGTCTGCATCTTCAGAGCTACCACATTGCTTGGCAGAACAGTACAATTTTGTAATAAGGATATCATGAACCATAACGCCAGACTCATTCTCCTTACAATTCCATAAAATCCAATGGAACCAAAGCCCCTTTTCTCCTGTGAAATTGTATTCCCTCTAATCTGAGAAACTGTTCAAACTCTTCTAGGCTCCTGCTTTCTGTACGTATGACATTTGGGTCTAATTTTTTTGTTGTCGTTATTTATTTATATCCCAAGAACCCCTTTATCATGTAGACACTTTAGAGAGACCATAATTTGGTTCAGACCTGTAAGTAGCCGGATCTGTCTTCTCCTCAGAGTAAACACGAGGAATGTGATGAGACTGGCCAATAAAATGACCCCGAGGGTCAGCAATGCAATAAGGGATGAGTGACCTAAGCAAATGTAAATAACGAGAGACAATATATTAGCCGAAAGATCTAAGTTCAAGCAACCAACTGTCTTTGGTCAGGTACCAAAGGGTCAGGATCTCTTAAGTCAATCCCATGTCCTCAGAACTCCTCCTCACCCAAAGTTTCTGAACAAGAAGGCTTCTAAGTAATGCTGTTAATCAGTCCCATGCTCAAAAACCCCAAGCCATACCTGTGGCATTTGCTGATCTTAAAGATGTTCCTGTGGGAGAGAAGATAAAGAGACTTAATTCTGGGAGTAATGTTTAGAAAAAATATATCTATGTCTTTGTCTAAATCTAGTAAACTAGTCTTTCCCACCTAAGAATAGAGTCCCCTAGTCTTTCTTCCCTCTGGCAGGAACATATGAGTTGTATACTTKTCTTCAGAGAAGGCCAGAACAAATGTTTTCACCATTCCTTCAGAAGAAAACCTAATGACTTTTCCTCCACAGGATCCTTGTTACCTCTGATCTTTAGAGAACACACCCCACTGCACATCCCCTTTGCTGACAGAGTCCCACTTATCCAGGCTCTTGACACTCACCTGGTTGGCACTGTACAGCAGCATCTTCCTTGTGCCCACAGTCAGTGTGCCCCCATGGTCCGGCAGGACAGTCCCATAAGGAAGTTTCATTCCCTCTACACTTCACTTGGTTGAGCCATATGGGCCCAGTCCCCTGACCAAACGCTGCTTCCTTTAGTGCCTTCTCGGCTTTTCCACAGCCTAACTGTTGACACACCACTTGAGCATCATTAAGATCCCAGGAGTCATCACACACTGTCCCCCAGGAACCTCCGTGCCAGACTTCCACTCTACCAGAACAACTGGTGTGACCTTCCTGAAGTCTTATCTTGTCTGAAAATGTAGATAAAAAAGATATCTTGATTATTTCTGGGAGATAAAAGCTTCTGAAAGGTTACAGAAGAAGAGAAGAGATGTGAAATTGTTTTTAAAACCTATTTAAAAATAATTTATTTAATGTGCATTTTAAGAATTCATATTTTTTACCAAATATATATTTTATGAAAGTATGTGTCCTTTCTGCAAACTGGGTATATTTCATCCCATACATAAAAATCATAGTGTGACTCAGGAAATGTTGAATGAATAAAGTTAATACTATGAATGTAGAATGTTATGTTTTTTTCAAACAGAAAAGAGTCTGGAAAATTGCCAGATATCAGGAATCTTCTCACAATTTAGGAAGATATAGAATAGGAAAACACTTTAGGATAGATCTTTCTGGACTCTTTTTTTCCCTTAATTCAATGTAGCAAGGTAATATTTGAAATATAAATGGGAATGTCAAAGTAAACTAATAATCAACTACTGAATTACATATGCTCTGCTCCTCATTCATTTTGAAAAATTATTTGAATAAAAGTTTTAAGCAGAATATGAAGAATGTGATATTTGTATTAATGATCACTGATCCTGAATACACACACACACACACACACATACACGCACACACACACACATACATATATACCAAATTAAATAAAATAAATTTTACCATGCCAAGAGGATAGGTATTAATATGAGGTTACCCATTCCTGCTTAATGAGATCTAACAAGTTAAGCTAGTGTGGGAGTAGGAAAATAAAGGCTAGTTGCTTTCTCAGATGTGACAGTAGAGCTGCAAAATGGAAATTTCATATTGACCAATGGACACTCACTGTCACATGTGATCCAAGCCTCCTCTGAGGGGCTGCCCAGTCTCTGCTTCCATGGAGATGATGGACACTGCCATAGTGTGTCAGGTCCTTTTGGGCACTGAACGTTGTCCACCCACACGAGTCTGGATGGTGTCTTGTCTAAAGATGCGGGGTTGATGTTTCCCTTCTCTGCACAGCCCAGCTGTCTGCATACTACTCCCACAGTCGTTGCAGACATGTCACTCCTGCCAACACTGCCCCAGGTTCCATTGTAAAAAACTTCCAGACGTCCTGCACAGGTCTCTCCCCTGGTTTCACTGTTTAGTCTCAGAGACATGAACTCTAGGATTAAATAGAGAATTAGTTTTACATCTTCTCTGACAATTAGGAACCCCCGCCCCTTTTACTCTGATGTGACAATAGTTTAAAATAGTTTTTTAAATAGGTATAATTTGTTAATTACTATAATTCTTTAGGAACTTATGGATGACTTAGTAGAGCCTAGTAAAATATGGTACTTATTCTGTATATAATTTTTTACTTTCTAGTCTTGGGGTTTGTATTCAGGAATCTCTCTAGAATGCTGTCAAATTCAATCAAAACCGTAGAACTTTTCTTTATTTACATAATTTGGGTTTTCTTCCAAAGTTAGTATAATTTTACCCCCAAGAATATTATTCTGTTTTTGGCTGTTTTTAACTGCCAAAATAAAAATTTTACATATTTTCAGGTACAGTGTGATGTTTCAAAACGGGTTTATATTGTGGGGCTGGCATTGTAGCTCAGTGGTTGAGTACTGGTCTCGCATGCCTGAAGCACTGGGTTTGATCCTCAGCACCACATAAAAAAATAAAATAAAGATATTGTGTCTATCTACAACTAAAAAACTCTTTTTTAAAAGTTTATATTATGTTTATGATCAAATCCACACATTTAGCATGTCCATCACCTCAATTATTTATCATCTGTTTCTGGGTTGCTTTTTTTGGTAAGTGTCTTTGGTAAAAATTTAGTGAGATACAAAAACCAGTATTTTGTGTACATTATCTTAGAATGAATTATTTCCTTTTTGCCACTTTACAGTTTTGTTGAACATGTACTCTACCAGATTTATGATATTAAATAGGAATCACTCCTGGTATACAGAATTTTTCACTGTCCTAAGTTACTGAGTCACAGTACTGTTTTTCACCAACATATTGCAAATGAAGATATTTTTCTATGTCACAACAGCTTCTAAAATTCACTGCATATACAAAGCAAGAGCAGTAGTCTCTTATGGTAAGTTTTGGTCCCATGACAAATAAACCTCATTTATCTGCTTTTAACAATTACTTGGGAATGGAATATATTTTTTTTGTTCCTATTAATCTTCTTTATTAATATTATAGTTACCAAGTGATGCCATTGAATCCCTATTCAATATCACATTCTATATGTTTATAAAAGAACATTACTATTAACATTTTCATGATATACAAGCCTGTATTTGAATTTTTCTCTTTGTAATATTGGACTACCTTGCACATGACATAACTCTATAACTTCTCAAACTCATACTTCTAGAATCTTAACTCTGGCAATAATTTCTTTCAAATATGCTTTTCAGGGAAATCTTTCAGATTAATTTCCTTCACTATCCCTTGCTCCACCTCAGTCTTTTAAAAAATGTAATTGTGGCCAGGGGTTATTGGCAGAACTTACCTGAGCAGATGACTCCTGCATCTTCCTTATGCCTGCAATTGTGCCGCCCCCAGCCATGTGAACGGCACTGCCAAATATGGGATTCTTTTCCATTGCAGTTTACCTCATCCAGCAAGATAGGCCCTGTTCCTTCACCAAAATGAGCAGATCTAGTAGCATTTATGGCCACTCCACAGTCCAGCTGTCTGCACACCACATGAGCATCACTCAGGTCCCAGCTGTCATCACAAATGGTGCCCCAGGAACCCTCATGATAGATCTCTATTCTCCCAGCACAGCGACCCCCTCCATTTACCAGACGAAGTTGACCACTCCCTGGAAAAAGAAAGAGAAATACTAACACAGTGCATCCTTGAGAATTTAGATCGTTCTCACAGATTGGTTACAGATTCTTACCTATGCAGGCAGCAGAACTTTCTTCTGGAATGATAGAGCTCATTGGATCTGAAGATGATGAATTGCATGGGCTCAAGGTCTGGGACTGGTTTCCTGCAAACACCAAGCTACTCAGTCATATAAGATACAAAAAGTTGGGATAAAGAATGGAGGTCAAATGGAGTGTCACACAGATGAGTCAAGTACAAACAGCTTTAGAGAGAAAAAAAGATAGATGGGCCCACCAGGTTGGGAGTGAATCAGGTATTTTGAGAAAGCATTGGCACAAGTAATCACTATATTACAAGGTTCACAAAAATTAAGTTCATTTGCCCTGTAAAACAACAAATGAGTTTAATAATCTGACACACATCTCAGGACTCTCAACAAGGACCATTTCCTTCTTCTTCATCTCTATAGAGACACCTGGTCCAAAGGGCCACCATTGTGGGAGAGATTAATCATTTGTCGCCCTTCATTCTCTTACCTGAGCAGATTGCTGAGGCTACTTGCCCTTCAGAACACAGCAATGTACCCAGAGCAGTTACAGGGCAATCTCCCATGTGCTGTTCAGTCCCAGTGCAGTGAAACATGTGTCTCCAGACCTGACCATTTCCTTTCCCAAAAGGAGCTCCTCCTGGAGTGGAGAGGGCAACTCCACATTTAAGTTGCTGGCATAGGACATGTGCATCTTCAATGTCCCAGTGAGAGTTACAGAGGGATCCCCAGATTCCAAGCACCTTGAGCTCCACTCTTCCCTCACACGAAGACTTGCCATTCACCAAGCGGGTTTCTACATATCCTGGAAGGACACAGGGCTTTAGAAAAGATGGCTGGACCGCTTAACTCCACCCCCTTTGCATTACAGAAAGAAACTGAAGATATTCTCTGAGTCTCACTTGAGCAGACTAYGCCAACATCTCTACTGTGGCTACAGGTCTCATCTGGGCGGGGTACTACTGGGCAGAGTGATAGATGGGACTCATGCCCACCACACTGGAATTCTTCAGCCCAGATCTGTCCTGTTCCTTCTCCAAAATGAGCTCCACCTATGATAGAGACGACTGTGCCACATTCTAATTCTCTGCACAGCACACTGGCAGCTTCCAGCGAGAAGTCAGAATCACAGACAGAGCCCCATGTGTCACCATGCTTCACTTCAACACGACCAGAACAGGGAACATCTCCTCCAACCAGTCTGGGTTCCCTGTGGGCTGAAAAATAATAACATTTCAATGAGAGACAACATGATTTCCAGATTTTTCTTATGATGGGATGAGGAAGGGAATAAAGAATGGGAATGGTAGGCCAAACTGCTCAGTGATTTCCTACATTTCTTCCTCCTAGTTTCTGCCTAGAGTTGGGAATAGCAAATTCTTAGAAATCCCTGTTCCTCATTGGGCCTATCCTAAGAAAAGTCTAGAACATTGCTTTTCAAAGTCAGTCATCCCCAGAAGCAATTACTCTTTCCATCTAGCATTTCATTTGCATCATTTATAGAATTAGAACCTACAAACTGTGTCCACTGTCTCTGTCTCTTAATCCTGTACTCATTTCTCCACTCACCACAATCCAGGCTCTGCCTCAACCTTTTTGATACCTCTATGTAAGTTTTCTCACCATACCTCTGTTTTCAAAGTGAACATCACAAGGCTTCTCTTTAACTTCTGTTACGCATGTGTGTGTGACCTTCCTTTCTCCTGTGTTCTCCCCCTTCCTTTCTTATAGTGCCTTATCAAAACACTCCATATATTCTTTGAGTCATGGTTCTGTCTTCAATTTTCTCATATGCTCACTAGACATATCTTAACTGCCAATAAATGTTTTCATAATAATTTTCTCTTTTATTATATATTAATAAATATATCTARTGTATATATATTTGGATGTCTGAAACTTATAATTTGTGTTTAAAATTGAAAGTATTATTATCTGACAAGTCTACTGCACTTTAACTCAATTAATGATGCCCATGTAAAATTAGAGCAACCTGAAATTGAATGAAAGTAATAATGGGAGTAAATATTACCATTATTCATCAATGACTTTTGAGTTGGAAAGTCCTTAACTTGGAGCATTATTTGAGCATGGACTTCCTAAGATATCACTAACTAGTATGCATATGGGCCTGTTCCACATCTGGACAGCCTAAATCTTTAAGTAAAGGCAGCATTTTAGATTCAATCAAGTCAGCTTTCTTGCAATCTCTGGCTCACTTATCTGGAGCTATTTCAAACAAAATAAAACACAACCAATTAAAAGAAGCCAAAAAATAAATCAAAACCAAAATTTTTCTCTGCTATAATGAATTTTGTTATGCCACTTCAAAAGAAGTCCTTTCTATAAATATTCTCTTGTTTCTTTTGTCCTAAATATTTGAGTTCCAGTCAGAAGAGAAATTCTTCCACCCGGAAAGTGAGCCAGAGACTCTATTTCCATTCTTTGTTTCACAAAACTGCAAAGTCATATTCATTCATAGCCTGGGTGGGCTGCCTTATGTCACTATATTCTGTATAAATAGTTAGACTGTTGAAAATTTAGCTCTTTAAGGGTTTATTTTACTTGACAAATTTATGATTGCATTTATTTTTATGTAAAAGCCAGTAAGTGAAGTTTTGTGTCCAAATTTAGCTACTTTTATAAACAAATTAAGTTTTCTCCTGAAAAAGTAACTAAATCCATATTTAATTTTTTCTCTGAAAATGAATAAAGAATAAGTATAAGAAATAATTCATTAGAATTACTACTTTTGTTTAGTAATAGATAAACAATATGATTTAAAAAGCATAACACATTTTCATCATTTTGATTTTTTACTTTGGAATTGGCAGGATTGAAAAAAGGCCCTAACTCTCATATTCCCCAATTGAGGTGGTGATAAAATGCAGCTTTAACAGATGATAAAGTTGATGCTCCACATATAAAGACAATGACTTTCCCAACAAAAATGGGAATTAGGTCTTGTCTTTTCTCTGAAACCCAAAGTTTCCAATGACCTTAGGCAGTGTTCAATTAAGTAAGAGGAAAGGGTAGTCTCAGTATAGATCAAAGTATGTAAAGATGCTTTTTGACTACAGTTACTTTCATATGACATTAGGTTAAAGTAAATAGACTATAGAAATATTCTAAATTTGGAAAGAACTATTTTGCTGTCTTGAGGAATAGCTGATATCAATTTTGAAGCAATCTATGAGCCTCTAAACCACTTTTTGCAGAATCTGGGTTTGAAAGATGTACAGAACACTGATACATATTTACTTCAAACAAGACTCCACTCTGTGAAGAAAAATGTATCAGGAAGAATTGTCCCCAGAACAGCATCTGTACATAGCAAAGACAGTGGACAGAAGACATTTTCTCAAGGGTAGAACATGGATTGTCAGTTACTCTTACCAAGTAACTCACTCAGTTGCAGGAGAGCTCATTATTCCTGTTGAATAGGATTTTACAGTTATTGCAGAAAAATGATTCCATGTATTTCTTGATGGCCACAGCTACCAAAAAGCCCTAAATTGTTTGTCTATTTGACTTATTTTAGCCATTGTTATTTGCTCTTCTTTTATATGCTGTTTAAATCAATGCTAATTAATTTAAAATACAACTAATTGGAAAAACCTTTAAATCTACAAACTAATGATCAAACAAAAAAGTATGCTTACATGTGTCAACAGACACATGACAGCAGAATGCCAAGCCCCTCAAAAATGTCATATAGTGAAATATGTATTTAGTTTTAGCATAACATGTAGATGTAGTCATACTATGACAGCATAACAATGTGTTAAATAAGTCTTTCACATCAAAAAATAATCCATTCTATCTGGCATACCTCCTCAACAAATAAATAAATCTCCATTCTATCTGGCATACAAGTGTGCATCTATAACATGATGATTTATTAAAGGTTGAAAAATAATATTAGAAAATAAATAAAGCAGTATTCATGATATTAATATCAGACCAGTTTGATTCAGAACAAAAAGATGGAAACTTTATAATTCTAAAATAATTAAAAATGGCTATAGAACTGTCAAACAAGATCTCTGCTCCATATTAATACAGCATCAATTCTTCAATAATATGGCAGCTATTGATTTTTTAAATTTTTAAAATTTTATTTATTCTAATTTGTTATATATGACAGCAGAATGCAATTCAATTCTTTCACATAAATAGAGCACAGTTTTTCATGTTTCTGATTGTACACAAAGTAGACTCACACCATTCCTGTTTTCATACATGTACTTAGGATAAGATGTCTGTCTCATTCTACAGTCTTTCCTACTCCCATTCCCTTTCTTCCCTCCCCTTTTGCCTATCTAAAGTTTGTCTATTCCTCCCATGCTCCCCCCCCATTATGAATCCTATGTCAGAGAAGAAACTTTGCATTTGGTTTTGGGAGAATGGCTTGCTTCACTTAGCATTATATTCTCCAACTCTGTCCATTTACCTGCAAATGCCATGATTTTATTCTCCTTATTTTGCTGAGTAGTATTCCATTGTGTATATATACCACATTTTCCCTATCCATTTAGCTAAATCCCAATGACATTCCTCATGGGAATAGAAAAAGCAGTCATGAAATTCATCTGGAAAAATAAGAGACCCAGAAATAGCTAAAGAAATCCTTAGCAAGAAGAGTAAAGCAGGTGGCATCAATATGCCAAAACTTAAACTATACAACAGAGATAAAGTAACAAAAACGATATAGTATTGGCACCAAAATGGACTTGTAGACCAATGGTATAGAATAGAGGACATAGAGAAAAACTCACATAAAGACAGTTATATTAGACAAAGGCACCAAAACCATATATTGGACAAAATATAGCCTCTTCAACAAATGATGCTGGGAAAACTGGAAATCCATATGCAACAAAATTAAACTAAGCCCCTATTTCTCAACATGCATAAAACTCAAAGTGGATAAAGAACCTAAAATATTGATATTAATAAAGAATACAATTAATAGAGCATCCAACTCAAGAAGTTAAGGATAAAAAAATGAAAAAAAAACTTTAGTAAGTTAGAAATGAATTAATAGAAAAAAATTTAATAAATTGGAAAAAATTAAAGTACTATTAATTCTTAAACACCCAAATGTTAATTCTTTTTAGAARCAAAAGCTAAACTAGTATGTGATCTTATCAATTAAAAATATCAAAAGCAAAAATGAATGTACACATAATAAATAATGAGAGGAGAAATGTCATAGATACAGAAGTAATTTTAGGAAGCTCTTTAAGTACTGATATAAAATTACAATTAAGATGTTTTACTATGGGAATGTAATTTTACTATGATATGTCAATATAATAAAAGAGGATAATATCTTTATATAGATTTGCCTGGATTTTCTTGCATTCAGATAAAATGTTTCTGAAATAATATGTAAAGACCTGAACCACTCAAGTTGTGAGAAAAAGAATGGGATATCTGGGGCCAGTGGTAGGGGAAGAGTTTATACTTTCATATTTTGTACTTAAACCATGTGAAAGTATTACCTAGTTAAGATTTAAAAAAAAAAACAAATAATAAAACAAATTTTTATCTTAAAAGATTGATTTTTTTATTAGAGGATAATGTCTACCAAACAGAGGTAAGCACAACTTGTAGCATCAGAGGAATCTCCTGAAGAACTTAGCCAGGTTGAGATGTTCTAGGGCAAATGGTTGGTTAGTAAACATTCAAGTCATAAGAGTTTACATCCTGTGACTGAGTCGCACATGTTCACTGGTTTTCTCTCACTGGGGTAAGGAAACAAGAATAAGGATGACTATGAACAGCTCTAGTGGTTTCTTTAAGGAAAGATGAAGAGATACCAATGAAGACAGTCTAGAGAGCACATAGTTCAAGAAGCATTCCGAACAGTTTCTCACACTGTTTTCTCCAATATCTTCTCATAAATAAGTAACATTTATATCAATATATCACCTTAGAGTTGTTGAAGAAGCTTACTTGTATAAATACTATTAACTTAAAGTGCTAAAAATTATCTACAAACCAAGGCTACTCACAAGTAGCTCATTTTTGTATTGTAAAAATGAGCTGCAAAATCTTCACAAAGAAAAAAAAAATATTTCACATTAAAATAGAGATCCTAATGTTAAGTCATGTCAGTTTATCTAAAGTAGTTGTTTTTTAAAGCACTTGGTCACATTTCCATGAAAGACATATTTAAGTTCTATCTTGAAACTTCTAATTTCCTTCATCTTTAACAAATGCATTGATTTAAAAATTATTCAAAAGTATAATGAGCAAAAAACAAATACCTCTTTCCAAATGCTAAATGAATTGGAAATTTATCCGAGACTCTCAGAATAGAAAATATGGATATATTACAGTTTCAAGAGAGATCGAGTCATAGTGACCATTATTTCTTCTCAGTTTAAAGGATATTATTGGGCAAATGTAGTCTTGGAATTAAATTTCTTAATGGAAATATCTTACCTGAGCAGGTAATTTGGGCTTCATTGTGGTCACAGAGAAGTCCACCCCATTGCCAATTCTTGCAGTCCCAAAGAGAAGTTTCATTTCCACTACAGCTACTTACAAACAGCCATGTGTTTGTTGGTTTAATTTTGGAATACATTTGAAAAGATGTTTGAAGTGCAGATCCACATCCCAGCTGTCTACAAACCACATGAGCTTCATTCAATGTCCAAACTCTACTACACACCTTCCCTAACAGTTTCTGAATTTCCACCTCCACTGTCCCAGCACAGCGGCTACCTCCACCTATAAGTCTCAGCTCCAGATCTGATCCATCTGCAAAAGAAACATAAATGTAGGCTATATACACCTGTGGAGGTTATCCCCCAAAGAATGCTTAATCTTCCTTCTTCCCAGATACCGAGACACTAGAAAACAGAGCTTACATCTTGACATTTTAAGAAACAATAAGTATAGACCATGAATTTGATTAGAAAACATATTGTAGTTTCAAGGATTATTGAATTGTCAATGGCAAAGTAAAGTTCCACAAAATTTTATGTGACCTCTAGGTCAATTTAGAATTTGTGGTGTGTCCTCTACTGATCTTACAGATGATAGAGTCAGCACTCTATACGAATGTGACAAAAGATTCTTCACAAAATTATAAAGAAATTTCCAACAAGGAATTTATTAAAGTATCCTCACTGCTCACATTTCATACCTATTCCTACACATAAAGAATATAGTTCCTTCCCTCTCTGCTTTTCTTATTATTGTCTTTTTTCAACTTACCAGAACATGTCACACCAGCATCTTCATTATGAGTGCAATAATGCTTTCCCCATTCATGATGTCTACACTGCCAGAGAGCAGATTCATGTCCATGGCAGGAAACACTGTCAAGCCAAATATTTCCAGATCCCTCACTGGCATTAACTCGACCAGTGGCAGTGATGGCAGTTGGACATCCCAGTTGCTTACACACTACAGCAGCATCATTATTATCCCAGTTGTCATCACACACTGTCCCCCATTCTCCTTGAAATTTCACTTCCAATCTTCCTGAACATTTAGTGACTCCATCTACCAGTCTCAGGCTTAGATCTGCTCCATCTATAACAGGGACACACAAGAAGTCAGGGGTAAGGAAACAAGAATAAGGATGACTATGAACAGCTCTAGTGGATTCTTTAAGATGAAGAGATACCAATGAAGACAGGGACAATCATGATATGCTATCCCTGAAAATTCTTAAAGATGGCCAGAAGAGTGGGTTCAGCTAGAAGACAAGACTGTTCAGTCTAGAGAGCACATAGTTCAAGAAGCATTCCAAACAGTAGGTATAGAGCTTGGAATTTATGTGGACACCAGATTGTTTGACCACCAGGTTTTGTCAGAATTATTTACTTTTTCTTCTTGAAATACATTTGCATTTATTTAGGTTTTAACTGCATTTTCCAGTTTGCTCACTACTCAGAATTCCCTTTTGTTGTTAACTGCATTACCCATCTGGTATACCTGGTTTATATTGTGTAGTGGTCCCTCTGTGAGAATTTCTTTCATTCAAAGGCAGAAAAGAGAGGAAAGATGCTTCACCATTATTCCTTTCTCTGTTTAAAATCAATATTCATTAAAGAATATACCTTGATTCCAAAGAGTATCCTGTGGTAAAATAAACTGTTTTTCAAAATCCTACTTATAAGATTCCTCAGAATGTGCAAAAAACTTTGAAAAGATTGAATACCTAGAGAAATTTTGATGGGGGAAAGGAGACCAGAAAGCCCATACTGTGTTTTTCTTTTCCAAACTCCTTTATTTTCTACACTTAACAAAATCCATTTTTCCCTGTAGGAATGTCATTCTTTGGGGTTCTGGCTATACTAGATAATATTGTCTGAGCACCTGGATCCAACCATGCATGAAACAATAGCCTCTGGATTTCCTACTTTTCTGAGCTGGTATTCTCTTATTTTAAAATTAGTTTGGATTAAATTCTCTTCCTTTGCACGGGGTGGGATGGGGTGGGAAATGAACTGGTGGAGACAGGGATATTTGTACTCTAATTATGTTTTCCTAAGTGTTCTTTGGCATTCAAAAATACTGTCTTTCAAACTAAAAAGGAGGTGTGGTGTTCCTCAACACACAAGCCCATAGCCCTGTGCCGGGATCTAAGTGTGGAACACAAAAGTCTCCAGACAGATACACTGCCTACTCATACCCTAGCCCTATAGAATAAATGAGGTTTTAATAGGAAACCGAAGTATTGGCCTTCTGTTTTCATTTTCATCATTAGATTCTGTGAATTTGAATCAATGACTTGGGAAGGAGAGATGATGTGCCTAAAGAGGAGATGACAGAGGATAAGGAAGCTAGTTGCTCTTAAAAACCATTCAGAGAAAAATTTCCATATTAAGCCCCCTACACATTTCCTCTCCCCTCTCTCTCTCTTTCTCCATCCTTCCCTCTTTCTTTTTCTCCTCCCTCCTTCCTCCTTTCTTCCTTTCTTTTTTTTATTCCTTCTTCTTTTCCTCTCACCTTTGGTTTGTTCTTTCTTGATTTTTCTAAACACTCTTTTCCTTTTTTATGACCTGAAATAAAATTTCTGCAACCGTTTTATTTACTTTAGTTAGGGTAAAAAGCACAAATATCAGAACAGGAACCCAAAGCAAGGCAATAATAAAGTGACAAAGGAAGCCCTCTTCACTGTGTTCTCAAGGGCAAGGCTTTTAGGACTGCTATTCCCTTTTTGTGACCTCTCTTGGAGGCCAGATAAGCCCAGAACAACCCTTACCTAAGCAAATCACTCCAACATCCTCAGCATGATCACAGTTATGCTTCCCCCATCCTTGGTGTCTGCAGTTCCAGAGAGCTGACTCAGTTCCATTGCATACAAGATCATCAAACCAGATTGGTCCAGAACCTCCTCCAAAATGAGCTGAACCAGAGAAACTGACAGCACTTCCACATCCCAGTTGTTTACAAACCACAGAAGCGTGTTCGAGGTTGAAGCCATCATCACACACTGTTCCCCACTGTCCTTGGAACTTGACCTCTATTCTTCCTGAACACCGGTTGCCCCCATTCATGAGTCTCATTTCCAAATTGGATCCATCTAGACCAATAAACAGAGTTCAGACGTGATACCCATTCATATTATTTTAGAAAATAAGGTTTCTACAGACACTTGGAATTTGATGCTGTTCTCATCAGGGTGTCTGATTTGGATGCTGCCCAGCTTCACATGTAGGAGAATTTTAACCTGTTAAAATCCAGTTAACAATTGGGACTTTCATTTACATCTATTTAGCAAGAAAAATGCTTTCCAAGGTTTTAAAATTTTCTCTTAGTTTCCTTTCATTTTCTGGAGATAAGTAAACATTCTTTCATACTGAAATAGATAAGGTTAACTTAATTTTTATTTAAAAAACAAACAAGATAAAATTGACCCATACAATAAGGTAGTAAAAATGACAAACTAGCAATTTGTTGAACATTTAAAATCATTTAAAATCATTTTAACCTTTCTTTACTATTAACAGCTCAACGCATAAATACTTGTGGTTGAATTTGAAATTAAAAAATAAGAAGAAGCAAAGATGAAAATGCAAAAGTAAGCATGACAGCTTGAAAAGCATGCTATGGAACAGCAAATTGTTAAAAAATTGAGGGAAACTGAATCAAAGTAATTCATTTATTTCCAACTTCCTGTGTTTAATGAACCTCCCTCCAAAGCATCTGATATCATTTTTAGCAACAGACAGCTTTTTCATTAGGAACTTTCTTTCTGTACACTATCCCTTGGGTTTTCTATAAGGACTAAAATACCTAGACATCAGAGATATTGGTTGAAATTTTGGATAAACAAAAACTGTTGGTTGAATAAAATGCCCAGACACTCTTTCTTGAAAAAGGAATTCAATTTTGAAAGCTCAAAACTCTAAAGACCTCTAATTAACAAGGTTTATTTTTATTATAGGCAATTAATGATAATAATTAGTAGTAATAAGGACTCACCATCAAAATATGCATATTCTGTTCTAATTATATAGCACATATCAACTTCTTTAGTCCTTACAACTTTAAATATTCACTACTTTCATTAACCCCACTTTACAGATAAGCAATCAGAGATTGAATAATTGACAGAGTCAAACACCTAGAAAAGGGTAGAGTCAAAATATGGAGGGGGAAAAAATAAGCAATCTAGCACCAGAGTCTATCTTCTTGATTATTGTGTTATATGACCTCAGGGCCTGTGAGAATAACATTTTCCAAGATGAAGAGACTCTGAAGATCAAGTAATAATTAGGATTGAGAATCTCAGAAATTCAGGTGCTACAGCCCCATGAAACTGGAGTCCTTGAATGGCTATAAATTATTTTCTATTGTTAGGCTCCAGTTGTAGCTTAAGGTGTATAAACTTCAAAAAGTAAGTTTGATTAACTCCATCCTTAAATTTGACTAACCCCACCCTTCATTACTCGAAAACAGAAAACAACAGCTAAAAGTTCTACACTAATGTCTTAGTTAAATAGCTAAGAAAAAATTAAATTGGGAAGAGAAAGGGGAAGGAGGAAAGAAACAACTGAGTGATCAAGGTAATGAAAAGCAGGAAGCCACAAAGAAATAACATTGTCAGCACCTATTACATCCAGACATTGTATCAGTAACTTAAACTGAAGTTTGGAGAGATTTAAAAACTTCCATGAAATCATAGCATTAGGAATGACTGCTAGAACTTAATCCAGCATTCCTTCTTCTTCTTTTTTTGTGCATTATAATTATGCATACTAGTAGGATGTAATCGAGCATTTTTCTAGTTACTGGCCAGTGTTACTCCCATGACACTCCAATGCCTGGGTAGAGGTCAGTCCTTTCTATAGTCAGTCCTATAGGAGAGATGGTCTCTAAAAGTAATACTGGGAGGTGTGAGGACTACATAGAAGTATAGGAAATAAGCAAGGAGTAGGAGCCAAGAATCAGAATTGGGACAGAAACATGAGATTCATTAGCAGAAAGGCATGAAACATAATTTTCTGGATTATTGTGAAGTCAACTGGGATAAAACTTATGAAAATATTTTGTAAATTAAAACTAAAATGTAAATGAAATGAGTTGGTTTTCATATTGGAAAAGCAATTGTACTCTCAAAGCACTCTTCCTCCAGGAAGGAAGGATTAATATTAGTGCCAGAAATATTTATTTCTTGATTCACTAAGGTAATTAACTGTTTTTGTACAAAAGTGTAATGTTTTATTGGTCAATGCATTAGAGCAGCTTATAACTTAGAAAGGAAATAATAAATAAACTGAGATATAATGGTATATTTATGGAGGAACAGGAGGTTACAGTAGGGCTATTGAATGTAAAATTGAAGCCAGTTACTTTCTCATTGATTATAGTGTACAAAGTCTCTTCCAATTTTTTTCTTATTATGGGTTTTTTTCATGTATTTTCTGAACTTCTAATAATGAATTTGGTAAGTTAATGTGTGGACTTGACTGTTTACAAAAAATCATCTCATTGTATTTTTAAGCCATCTACAATTTTTTCCCCACCAAGAATTTTATATCTTATTAGAAATTACTAAGGAAAATTGGGGAGCCCAAGAATCTGAACTGAGTCAGGAACATGTCCCTGTGGTTTTCTGTGATTTACGTGAGTCTTACCTGAGCAGGTAACCCCAGCATCTTGTTGATGAGTACAGTTATGCTTTCCCCATCCATCATGTTTGCAATCCCAAAGAGCTGACTCATTCCCTCTACAGGAAACATGATCCATCCAAATGCGCCCAGAACCGGCAGTGGAATTAACCCAGCCAGTGGCTTTGATGGTAGTTGGACATCCCAGTTGACTACAAATCACAGAGACCTCATTTATGCTCCAGCCGTGGTTGCACACTGTTCCCCACTCCTCCTGGATTTTCACTTCCACTCTCCCACTGCAGTTGTTTACACCAGCCATTAGTCTCAGCTCTTTTTCTGTTCCTTCTGCAACAATGAGTTAAGATGACAATCACTCAAGGTCACAAAGGGCTGGGAGAGAATTATCTTCATTAGATTATGTGTTTATCTTTCAAAGTCAGAGTTGAGAAACTATCTTGAACCAATCCATGATACAATAGAGGAATGCTATTTCATGGGTATGTCAATTTAACTGTCACTGTCACAGGCTTCAAATGAATTGATGACATAAAAACAGGAAAGCTAAGGATTACAATACTATATCATATTTTTGTTTTATGATTGAGTATTCTTAGAAGTGGCAATTTATGTATCTCCATGGAAAGTTTAATAGTTAAATAAGATGCTACAGAATTTTATAGGGATGAGGAATGAATATATATATATATATATATATATGCATATATATATATATATATATATATATATATATGAAGCAAAATATATATATTTTGCTTCCAAATCCTGAAATCAGGAGCAAGAAGGATATTAGTAGATGTATGGGGATGGAAAGACCACTTGTAAGGCATTAAATAACTGTTCCACACATATATGTAAAATAGCATGGATTTTTTTTACAATATTTGAAATTTGACTAAAACTGATCTACTTAAATGGAAATTGACAAGGAGATATTTTACTATTATCTTCTATCATAAAAATAAACTCCATTTCATACCTTCTCCCCAAATTATTTTAGCGATCTCTTTGGCATTATTTTAGCTTAGTTTAGGAATACAGTGATCCCACCTCGCCGGCTACTTTCAATACATTTTTAGATACAATTTTGCCTTTGAATTTGTTATAGTGTTTCTAAAATTCTCTTTTTGGTCCAATAATTCTGAGGCTTATTCTCCTCTTCTTTCCTATAACCCAGCCTTTAAGTAACATGACTTTCCAATCTTTAAGTAACATGGACTTCCCCCCGAAGTTGTTTTTTTTTTTTTTTTTTATTGTGAGGGAGAAACATGCCAATATTTTGGTGTGACATGGTCAGGTTGTTATATGCTTTTAATACCTAACCCTTAAAAATTTTGAGCAGAGTTTTTAGACACCACTTGGCATCTAAAATATTTTTTAAAAATAATTCTTGCCTGAGAGGAATAAGTCTATTAATAAATTTGATAAAGTATTCCTGTAATCCCAGTGCCTCTGAAGGCAGAGGCAATAGGATCTCAAGTTCAAAGCCAGTCTCAGCAATTTGGTGAGGCCCTGTCTCAAAATAAGAAAAATAAAACAAAATACAAAGGGCCAAGTATGTAGCTCAGTGGTAAAGTGCCACTCAGTTAAATTCTCCAAAAAAATTTTTTTGACAAAGTACTCACCAACAGAGGTAGGGATGAAAAGGGCACTGAGAAGTGAGACCACAGCAATTGTGAAGGAACTCAAATGGACAAGCCATCTTCTAAAATCTGTGAAAGAAATAGGGAGAAAGTAGTTTTCACAAGAGACATTGGAGAAGACAGATGGTTCAAAGGTTTGGGATTAACAAAGAAAGCCAAAACAAGAAAGAAAATGGAAGACAGACAGGAAAACTTCATTCTCAGGATCATATGGTCTCAGTGAGATAGCTTTGAAAATATTCCTACTCATGCCTTAGGGTAAGAAATTAGCAGAAAGTTGAGTGGAAAAAATAAAAAGGCAGGTTTAAAATCTTTGGAAATTGAAAAAGGAACCAATAAAATATAGAAGTGGATACTTTTCCCTGAAAGTGGACAGGTTTGCTGAGATAATTCCTTTACCTCTTCAATATTTAATCGCTGATACCCCCATTTCCATGTCTACCTGATCTACACTGTTAGATGGTAAGTTCCATGAGGGAATGGATTATATCTACCATGTCCACCTTAGTTTCAACAGTACCTGGAACAGTAGCTTCCAAATAGTAGCTAAACAATAAACACATTGATGAAAAAAAATCAGTATTTTTATCTGAAAAACCCTAATATTGGATCTTATCATCTCTAATATAGCATATAAAATTCTGTTTAGCATTGTTATCAACCTCATTTCTATTTTTATTCTAACCCAGCACTAGCTTGAAATAAAAATGCTAAATGATTTTAACATGTCCATGCAAATCATGAAGTAGATTTCCACAAAGTTGTTGTTCTAAATTTCCTCTAAGAAATCAATATTCATGCCTATATATTCTAGCCTACATATTCATATTTCCTCTAAGAAATCAATATTCATGACTACATATTTTACCTTTTCTAACAAGTATCTTCTCAGTTTGAATACAGGTTCATTTCCTGAGAAGTTCACCAACTCTTGTCCCTTTATCACATCATTGCTTTTGAATCTCAGATCAAACATACTGCCATAGAATCTAAATCCCCTCTTTTATTCCTTACTCTTCTGATGATAACTATATACATTGACTGTCAAAATAATTCTCAACTTCATTAAATGATAAATGCAGGATAAATAAGACACTTTTACCAGCAGATCCAGAGTCTTCAAAAATCACCATTGCGAATTTTATGATTTCAGTTATTCCTAAGTCTTCTTTTATTGTCCCATAGAAATGTTACCCTCAAGAAGCAGACTGATAAGAATTTTTAAACATCACCTAACTCACATAAATAGAAAGGCTACAGAATGGAGGTGGAGTCAAGCCAAAAAGGGAAGTCATTGAAAGAGCTGAGGTTTCGTATCATATTCTTGTTTTCTTCAGTATAGGACATGAAACAACCAAAGGAAATTGAGACACACTTCCCACAGATTTAAAAAAAAATAGGGAGAAACGGTGATTCGCATACTTTTGTTGAGTCTTTTTAAGTTTGAACATTTTTTGAATTAACAGGCATAAAATTTCAAAAATTGTTATATAGTTAAACCATGTGGAGAAAAACAAGCACAGCATAAACAATTAAATTTTATAATTATGCCAACTTTTCATATTATTTCTATAATCAAATGTGTCTAATGAATAATTTTGTGTAAATTGTGTGTAGGCAGCCTTTGTATTTCTTTTCTAATGGATGAAGCCGATCAATAGAATTAGACATGATTATTACTGATTCCACAAATGGTGAAATGGAATGAACAAAATGTAGTTTTTAGCACTAAATAACTTAGCCATGGCTCTGAAAAAGGTCTTTGTAGTAGACCTTGAAGCATTCCTGTGACTAAGTTTCAGTCAATCACAGCTATCCACTGTTATAGAACTGGCATCCCAGAGACCCACCCAGTGATCCAACAGGGTACTTCTCAAGAACCTAATGAAAGGGGTACTTGTCCATGCACCTGATATCAGGACTGCCATCTACAAACCCTGAAGCAAAATGTAATCCAGTGTCAGCCCTTCAAACTAAGGTCTTGGATAAAGTTCAGTTCACTGAAGGACTAGACAAGGATCCACACCTACCAAAACCCCATGATAAAGAGCCCTTACACACAGACCTGACAGTAGAATCAGGAGCAGCAACATGAGTCGGCTGCAATGCACTTGACATCAGTCCAAGAAAAAATATCATCAGCTTGAGAACCTAACAGGAGAAGGTCTTATTCTGCTTAGAGCATCTGTAAACACGAAGAGGTGTTATTCCTTCAAATGGAAAGACACCAATTTAAGGTCACATACATAATGAAGAATCAGGCAAATGTAATACCACCAAAGAAACTAATAAAAATCCAGCCACTGGCCTCAATATATGGAGAACTCTTAATTGCTTGAAAAGAATCAAAAATAATCATCTTAAAAAGCTCAATTAGATGCAACAATGAAATAAAAACCAAGTTTTTAATTTGTATCCACAAAGTTTACAAATTTACAAGTAGATCAATGTACAAAGATCTACTGTACAAAATCATGATTCAAGTTAATCACAATGTATTATATACTTGAAAAGTAGATTTTAAATTTTCTTACCACAAAAGAAGAATGAGTATTGGAGGTAGTGTATTTGTTTTCTTGATTTAGACATTCTATAATGTATATGTTTATTACCATGTTGCATACCATAAGCATACACAATTTTTATTTGTTAATTAACACAAAACATAAATGTCTCCCCTAGAAACATGGGGAGAAAGTAGAAGATAATTAAATAAATTAAGTATAAATATACAATATTAGTGTAAATTCATTAAAGAAAATGGGTGCATGTCTGATATATATACTTATATATATGATAATTAAAACAGTTTCATAATTTGTTCCTATTGGAAATAAAAAAATATACATTAAGTTTATATAGTAAAGATTTTATATACAAAAGATTTGAAAGACCACTGGTTGGCTTTTGTGATTCTGTACCACTGGTATAACATTTKCTAAAATGTAAATTAAAAAACTTTGTGGATTTAACCGATACTGGAACATGAATTACAGCTACACATGGGCATTCCACCAAACTTAAATATTGAGTCTCTTGTAGCCTGAAAAAAATAACTAAATAGGTATGCCTCCCTTTGAGTATGACCTTTCCTAAATTTTCAATAGTCATAGTACCCTTTTTCTTTAAATATTCCAAATATGTCATAGATGCTCTAGTGTAATAAATAATTAAATAATGAATTATTATCAAAGCAGGGTTTTTTGAGAGGGGCATAGAGGGTAAGGGGGTATCAGGGATTGAACTCAGGGGCACTCAGCTACTAAGCCACATTCCCAGCCTTTTGTGTTTTTTGTATCTTATTTAGAGACAGTTTCACTAGTTGCTTAGCACCTTGCCATTGCAGAGACAGGTTTTGGACTCATAATCCTCCTGTCTCAGCCTCCCCAGTTGTTGGGATTATAGATGTGCATCACTGCTCCCTGTTCAAAGCAGTTTTTAAAAAATATTTATTTTTTAGTTGTAGTTGGATACAATACCTTTATTTCATTTATTTAGTTTTACGTGGTGCTGAGGATCGAACCCAGGGCCTCACACATGCTAGGTGAGCACCCTACTGCTGAGCCACGACCCCAGCCCACAGAGAGGTTTTTGTTTGTTTGTTTTAATTAGTTACACATGACAGTACAATGATCTTGACATATCATACATTTGAATCAGATGGGGTATAATTTCTCATTTTCCTGAGTGTACAGGTTGCAGAATCACATTGGTCATGCAGTCACGTATATACATACAGCAATAATAATGTCTATTTTATTCTGTTGTTCTTCCTTTCCTTGCTTCCCCTTCCCTCCCCTCCCATCTCTTCTCACACAGAAGTTTTTGACACTTATAAACTGGTTTAAACAATGAAACCCCATGAGCCTTCATTTGAAATAATTAATATGACCCAATGTAAGTTAAAACTGTCCCTGCAAGGATTAAAATTTGTTATATGAAAGGGGATTATCCCTGCTGCTTTTCTGACAGCCCAGTTTTTGCTGTTCCTAACTCTGGGGAAAATTAAGTAGGCTTTAGTGATGTACCATGAACTTAATGCTGTGGCCCCATGCATTAAGATTTCATATTCAATATCCAGTGTTATGAAGATTCCTGATTCTACTCACTAAAACCACAATAATTTTTGTCTTATATACTGGCTAACCCATTCTGTTCAGTTTTTTTTTCAATGCTCTTAGCCACAGTTTGCCTGAGATTTCTAAAGGGACACAATTCATCTTCTCCAGGTGACCCATGGGGTACCTCAACAGCTTTTCATCACACACACCTTTAAGGAAAAGATATTTCTTCAGGAGCACAGTTGTGACATTACATTAATAAAATTCTCCTTCTAAGGACATTAATTTCACACAACTATGAGTGTTCTTATGACAACATACTTCTCATTTACAAATTTTACTTATGATTTACATCAGTGGCATGTTGTTGCTTTGCATTCCTTAGTCCAAATATCCCTAATAAAAGAAAATCCAAGAAACAACAAACTTGGACAAACTTCCAACCAATATCTTAGCACTGGCTTCCTTGACCAATATTCCATCTTTAGGTCATTGTTTACTTTGAGGTATTGCTTAAAAGTTGCCTAAATGTTATCCCTGTTGGTGTAAAAGCTTCTCTTATGTCATTTGTATACAAAATATAAATCACAATCACACATCTCCACAAATAAAAGGCCAAAATAAAAAAAACTTGCTAGGATATATCTCATTTTCCTTCACAGATTACTTAGAATATTGGAAATAACCCAAGTCACATATTTAAGTTCTTAGTATATAAGAGGCTGGGAAGAGGCACTCATTAGAATTTCTGAGTCACTGATAGGTCCCAGATAACTGGTTTAATCAGAAGATATTTCTTTTTAAATATATCTTTTTCAAATTCTAGTATAACAAATAACCCCCCTAAGAGCTCTATCTTGCCCTAGGCCTTAACCTATTTTTTAAAATTTTCAATCCTACCTGTATCCCATGTGTTGGAAGCCAGTTTGAAGATGTATACTCTTATGGAACTGATTAACCACAGATGGTCCTATAGTCCAGACAGTTGTTCATCTGATCTGGATCCCATTTGAACCTAATTTTTCAACAAAAACAAAAACAGTTTGAAGTACAGAAGTACTCCCTTCTGTTGACTGTTGGTTTATTACTACTGGATTGAGTGTTTTCATTGGTTTACAATTTGAAGGTCTATAATGACTCAAGAAGTACCCACTTGAAAAGGATATTCCAGTCCCCCCATCTCAGATTACTTTGGCCTCAAATCTCATTACTTGGAAAGAACATCACCTCCGACAATGTCACCCCAACCTAAGCCTTCTCATTGGAGATGATGTTATCTAGATACTAAAAAACCCACCCATTATCCCTTGTAAAATACAATTTATACAGAACTTTTACTTTTATTCCTTTAATAATAGAGACTGTATTATGTTTCAGAACTCACTGTCTGATAAGCCCATGATTGAGTTCGCTTCTTGGTCTCTATTAAAGCATATATTCTGTGTTCTCATGCCTAAAGGGAAATCTTATAGAGGTTAGTAGAAATAATGCATGTTATTGTTTCCTTGGTAGGCATCTACCTCATTTAAGTCAATGACTTGACATTTTGGGGAAAGTTCTGGAATTACTTGCTGTCTTTTCCTAATATCTCATCTTCCTTTTATCACAGTCTTTATCTTGTGCCTCCATCCATGACCACCACAACCACTCTTTCCTCTTGGTCAAACACTATATTCTAATGAGTATATTACACTACAAATAATATACCTTCTGTTGTAGTCCAAATACATATGCCTTCATCCCAATGTGTCCTTTATTTCAATGATCCCAGAGGCAGGACTATAATTCCTAAAGGGATGGAAGGCAGAAGATCAAGGAAAAATAATTATTGAGATTTAGATTTGTTCAAGATGCATCACTCATTTATTTTATCTTGTTTCTCCTTCTTGAAATTGGAATATCTATCTTGTGCCTGTCCTATCATTGTATTTCAGAAGCATATATCTTTTTTGGGTTTACATGCTCACAACTGGGGAGAAATTTGCTTCAGCTTAAAATGAATAGTACATTATAGTACCTTGAGTCTCTCCCATATCTATTTCAATGATATATAGATAATACTTGCCTTTTGAGCTGATGATAGAATGAATTAGGATCATTGAGGCTACTGGGAAGGATGAATGTATTTTGCTTTATGAGAAGGACATAAATTTTGTAGGATTAGAAGCAGAATGACTTGGTCTGAATGCTTATATCATATGAAAATTTATGTTGAAATAGTAACCCTCCAGGTGATGGTATCAGGAAGTGATTAGGAGGTGATCAGGTCATGGGGCAGAGCTGTTTTAAATGGTATTAGTGTCCTTACAAAACAGACCCAGAGTCAGGTGGTGGTGCRATCTCAGCAACTCAGGGGGCTGAGTTAAAAAGATGACAGATTGGAAGACAGCCTCAGCAATTTAGCAAGGTTCTAAGCAACTAGTAAGACCGTCTCAAAATTTTAAAAATAAGTTGGGGGGGGTTGGCATGTGGTTCAGTGGTAAAGTGCTGTGTGTTCAATTTCCAGTACACCCAACAATGTTGAAGAAGAAGAAGAAGAAGAAGAAGAAGAAGAAGAAGAAGAGGAGGAGGAGGAGGAGGAGGAGGAGGAGGAGGAGGAGGAGGAGGAGGAGGAGGAGGAAGAAGAGGAAGAAGAGAAACAGGCAAATCCCAGCCCTTTCTACCATGTATGCTAACAGAGAAACAATGGCAGTATACAAGCCAGGAAGTGGGCCCTCTCCAAGCAATAAATCTGACAACTTTATCTTGGAAAGCCCAGTCTCCCAATTTTGAAACATAAACTTCTGTTGTTTATAATCCACCTAGTCTATGATAATTTTGTTATAGTAGCCAAAACAGACTAAGACACCAAGCGTATTAAAGTAGGAAAGTGCCACATGTAACAAGGAGAAAAAGCAAACAATTGAAACCAAAGTAGAACAGACATAGCTGTTAGAATCTCTGGACAAGAACTTTAAAACATTAAGATATTTTCCAAATGTTCAAAAGCTATATAGAGGTAAAGAAGAAATGAGATGATCCAAATCAAACTCACAAAAATGAAATCTACAAGTGAAA